TTTCCCTCTAGGCACCCTGGTTTTGGGACACACGACAGTGCTGGTATAACTACCCTTTTCAGGTAGGAGATGAACACTTGCCAGGAACCATCTTTTTGCACAGTTTCAGATTCTCCTTTTGTTAGTGGTAGCAAATGGAAGCTCAGCAGACCTGGTTGCTTCTCAGTACTCTGTGGGGTGGCTGCTGCACAGGCTGCAGCTGGGGAGCTTTCCAGTGGCCATCCCTTTTGGAAGGCACAAGGAGGGCAGTTCCTTTTCCTCTCCTCTAATCCTGGTTAGGTTTCCCAGCAGTGTTTCCTCAGCTGGAGCTCTGACTCAGTTCATTTTATAGTTACTTGCTGCTGAGATGAATAAAAGTGTAAAAAAATAAAAAATATGCATAATAAAATGATACTGGTAACTTGCAGTGTTGTTTTCATGGTGCAGCAGAGGCCAAGGAGCCTGTGTCAGTGCCTGGGTGTCCTAATCCAAGAGGCTGCACTATCATGTGTTGTAAATATTGACAAGGGAATCTTACTCCTTTTGAATAAAGCTCAAACACACACGTGTGTGTGACTGAGCCTGGAGTGGAGCATCAGGTGCTTAAGCTTCTTTTTACTAAACCTTCATTCTGGATCTTTTACCTTATGCCTCAGCATTCCAGAGGAACAGAGTGGGATGGGAAGGAAGCAAAAAGTCAATTTTCATGTACGTTTTAAAGTACTTTGCCTCTAATTGTGCTGTCTTTGTTTGTTTTTCAGCCTCTAACATCCAGGCTTTATTATTACTATATTTTGGAGCTGGCCTTTTATTGGTCTCTCATGTTTTCTCAGTTTACAGACATTAAACGGAAGGTGAGAGAAACCAGAACTGCACTAACCACTTTGCTCAGTAGATGGGACTAACAAAAAATGGGAATGTGCCTGCCCAAGAAAGCCAAAACATAGTAAAATCTGCACTTTCTTCCTCATTCCTGGCTGTGTGTAGCCCACCTCTTGTAATCACTGCCTCTCCTGGGGAAAGGGAGGAGCAAACCTGACAGGCAACCTGGTGTATCCTTGAGTCTCTTTCACCTTCCAGGGGAAAGAGCAGAATCACTCAATACCTCCCAATAAAAAAGTTATCAAACCATTGTGTAAAAATAGATTTAATTAGAAGGCTTGCAAGAAAACAGGAAAAGGAGATGCTCAAAGCAGGACCTTGATGAGCTGGGTGAGAAAATGGCAACACTGCAGCAATTATAAACCTTGGTTTGAAGCTGATTTTTCACCTGTGTGCAGCAGAACTGGTCACAATTCCCACAGTCTGATTCCAGTCTGGGATTTGGCTTCTTGTTGCTGTTGGAAAACAGTTCATAGTCAGTGATGGTTTATTGCTCCTGTTCTGCAACCTGTAAAGTAGCAAATGATCCCAATTCTTGCACTGACTGTTCAAAAAGAAAAGTTTGCCTGGGATTTTTTTTTTTCCTGTACTGAAATGTTATTGGGAGAGAATCTCAGGGCTGCAGAGAGGGAGTGATTACCAGCATCTGTGGGGCTGTTTATAACATCTCATGTTGTTTATAATATTTAGTGCTGTACTCTGGCTTCAAGTGGGTGACGTTCCCCACTGCAGGGAAGGCACATGGACAGGGAAGTGGTGAAGCCAGAGGGTTAAACTGGAAAAGAGCCCTGGTTGTATGTGCATTGTAAACATTTCTTTCATGAAGTGGCCTTGTTCTTGCTGCTGGGTTATCTCGTGTTCTGTGCCTGCTCTGGCAGCTCTTGGGTGCTGACCACAGGAACAGACTTGCAGTGTGTGACCAGAGCTGAAAGCACCAGCAACATGACTGGAAAACCAAAAGGGGCAAAAAATCAGGAGCCTTTTTTTTTTTCCTATCCATCTGTTCACTGGGGTCTGCTTATCTTTTCCTTGCATATGTGTGTGCCAGAGAGACTGTGCTGTGCCTGTGTGTGCAAGGTTCTGACTTCCCAGGAGCACTAATGCTGGGAGACCTTTCTGGAACCTCCAGAGATGCTGGTTGGTGTGTGATGAGCTGTGCTTTTTGTGGAGTTGAGAGTCTGAACTGAAGTAAAACTTGTGACCCCAGTTTTGTGGCTCAGTTCCAAACCTCTGTATTTGTTTGACAGCCAAAGGGTCTTCATTAATATTTTTTTTTCCTTATTTCCAGGACTTTCTGATCATGTTTGTCCATCATTTGGCTACAATTGGACTCATCACGTTCTCTTACATGAATAACATGGTGCGGGTTGGAACTCTGGTGCTGTGTCTCCATGATGCATCAGATTTCCTTTTAGAGGTAAGTTTTCTTTCCAATCTTTGCATGCTGAATGCTCAGGGGAGCAAGCTGACTTTCCCATTCTTAATCAACTACATTAAATATGCCATAAAACTTGTGCTGCTGATCCTGCTTTGTCAGCTTTTCCTCATAACTGCCTTAGTGCTGAGAATAATCCCTCAATGTTCCAAACGCTTTTAAAAATGTGATGGCTTGAGGGTTTTTGAAGCTCTACAGCCTGGTAATTACATGAGTGCACAAAGGGAATAATATTCTCATGTTTCTTGTCTCTTCTAGGCTGCAAAGCTAGCTAATTATGCCAAGTACCAACGTCTCTGTGATGCTTTCTTCATGCTCTTTGGTGTCGTGTTCATCGTTACACGGTTGGGCATTTATCCTTTCTGGTGAGCACCTTGAGCTGGGAGGTCTCGTTTGTTCTTGCAATCCTTTAAGCAAAACCTGTGTATTTAGACTTTTTGCAAGCATTCCAGCTTGTCCCTCAAGGCAGCCTGGAGCTGCAGACAAACCCAATCACTGTGTGTTCAACTCGGGGTATGAAGAAACCTCTCAAGAGGCAGCTGAGGGAGTGTGAAAAGCCACCAGAATCCTACTGCACAGCTGGTCCCTCTGCTTCTGCTGCAAAGTGATGACAGTGCTTGTTGGCTGGAGCCAAGTCAGCCAAAATCTGCTCTGAAAGACTTAAAGGGTTGTTTGATTCTCTTAAGAAGTTTTGGAATTAAGTTAAAAATGAGGCATAGTCTCTTGAGGTAAATTTGATTTTTAAGTATCTGGCTTAGTCATCAGTGCAGTTTCTGATTCTTATGACACTTGTGTCCTCTCCTTGTGTCGTGACTGTTCTGAGCCAGAAATAAGTCTTAGGTTTCTTGGGAGGTAAAAGCTTGGCTAAATGGCTTACAGCTAATCATCCTCTAATGAGATTCCCTCTCAGATCAGGCTTGGTGAGGTTCTGCTGCTGCTGAGCTGCTACCCACTTGATTCTGTGTAAAAAGAGAGGTGAAAATTTGGTCACAACTGATGATCATTCAGTTTATTTTGGATTTATTTGATATATTGATTTTCCAGGCAGTGGGCAGCTTGCATTCCCCTTCTCTTGGGTGCCCTGATCAGGCAGAAAACAGACTCACACTTTGCTGTTAGGGTTGCAATTAAAGCTCTTCTTTCTTTTCCAGTAAATGCATCAAAGGAACCTGGAGAAGGAAGAGCTTTAATTCTTAATTCTTCAGAGGCTCCAGTGACAGATGAGAGAGTTGTCCTTGTTTTTATTGCTGTTTGTCATCAGATGATGCTCTTGCATCAGGCTCTTGCTGGGCAAGTCCTGTAAATCTTTAATGCATTTTCCACTGCCTGAAATTTAATTCCTCATCTTGGTTGGGAAATCTGGCAAGCTCACAGTGCTATTGCAGACCCTCTGCTATTTCACTGCACGTGTGTTCCCTAATTAGAGAGAACATCAGCAGATCTCTGGAATTGCATTTAATTCCTTCATAAACTGGCTGTCAGTTACCTGCTTTTGGAGCTGCATTTTGAGGGGCTTGGGTTCTTGTTTGAAAGGATTGTTTTTCTTGTGAATTGTTAAAAGCTGTGTGAAGTTAATGGCTCCTTTAAAGGTCTCTCCATACCTCCCTACTTCATAAAATCTAAAGTGTTTATTAAATTACTTAAGTACTGGCAATAACTCCCAGCAACAAGAACAGCAAAACAATAATGAAAGCATGAAGCTTTGTCCATAAAGCAGCTTCTAGTCCTCCAGCTTGGCAGGAGGAATCTATTTAAAACCTTAAAAAACCCAGAAAAGGAAGAGAATAGTGCAGAGGAGAGAGGCTGGGGACAAAATTCCTTCCTGGTCTTTAAGTGTGGGTGAAGTTTGCACAAGCAGAAATGTGTTAACAGTTGTTTTGGTGACCAGAGCAGCTTGACATCACTTCCTGTAGTTATTATAAATGTTCATGCCTTTGAGAAGGAAATTGGCAGCAGCTCTTGTATGTGTAATCAAATTGCAGAACATTCACATCTTCTCCTGTTGGTTGCTCAGTTCAAATGTTTCTCATTAGCTTTAGTCTGGCTCCTGACTCTGGCAGGAGCTGAGCTGCATCATGGCTCTGATGAGGAGCAAAGCAGCAGATGCTTCAGTGAGCTCCAGGCTGCTGTGCATCTGCCCCCTCAATCTTCCTCTGGGTTTCTGCATCTCTTCTAGGATTTTGAACACAACCCTGTTTGAAAGCTGGGAGCTGATCGGTCCTTACCCTTCCTGGTGGCTCTTCAATGGGCTCCTGATCACCCTGCAGATCTTGCACATCATCTGGTCCTATCTCATCATCCGCACTGCCTCCAAGGCCCTGGTGAGGGGAAAGGTAAGATTGTTGCTGCTTTGGGGCCTCTTTCTTAGGGTCACAGAAGCAGGGAAGGGTTTAGGTTGGAAAGGACCTTCAAGACCATCCAGTCCCAGCCCCCCTGCATGGGCAGGGACACCTGCCACCAGCCCAGGGGGTGCTCCAAGCCCCATAAAAGGTACCTTGAACACTTCCAGGGACGAGGCAGCACCTTAAAGATCATCTGGGTGGTCTTGAAGGTCCCCTCCAAACGATTCCATGATCTAAAGATCCTCTACATTCAACACCCTGCATGGGCAGGGACATGTCCCACGAGCCCAGGTTGCTCAGAGCCCCGTCCAGCCCTTCCCACAGGCCCTGTTAAGCAATCAGGAGAAACTGGCCCCTTTGGTGAGGGCAGGTCCCAGTTCTAGAGGCATTTGCATCAGGAGGACTTTGTAGATGGTAGGTTTTTTTACTTTGGTTGCTCTGCAGCCTGGAGCTGCCAGGTTGCACAAAGGCAGGGCTGCTCTCCTCTCATGCAGGGAAGTAAAACCATTGTCCAGGATGTTCAGAGACTATAATAATACTGATGAGGACAGACTTGTTCTGTACTTACTTGGAGTTTCAGGTGACAAGGGATGTTTTCCAGCTGGTTCTTGGGGTGTGATGGGAGATTGTACATCTTCCCCTGGGCCAGACGTGGAGCTGCAGGCAGCAGAGGGCTGATCAGAAATGCAGGGGGGTTTGCTGGGCTTGTGGGGTGCAGTCTGGCTTCAGTCCTGAGTGTTGGATTCTCACTTGTGCTGGGAGTCTTGGGGAGAGGGGGGTGTGAAATGACAGCAGCTGGTTGGCAACAGATACTGCCCTGGGAGCAAACAGAGCTGACTTCTGGCTGCAGCCTCAGTTGCCAAGCAAAAAGGTGTCATTCAACTGAAGCAGCATGAGACAGGCCAGCCAGGCTAGGAGCTAATCTGACACCCAGCCTTCCCATCAGGACAAGCCACTTCCTTTGCACTACAGCTGATTTCATACCACAAATGCTTTTTAAAAAATCAGATATTTGGTGTTATTATCTGAGTTTCTCTCATGGCTCGATTTTATTTTGTGTCTTGACTTCTCAGCTGCTCCTACACTTGGAAAATAACCTTGGGAAACATTTCTGTGGTAGTTGTCTGTGTCATGGTCAGGGGAGGCCACATTTTGGAGTGAACACATGATCTTTTCATCTGCTCCCCACAGCTGCTGCTGCAAATGTCTGATTTTCTGTCTGTGCAGCTGTTTCTATATCCTGAGGTCTACATCTTTTTCCTTTCCTTGGTTCTCTCCTGTCCAGGTGACCTAGCCAGAGAAAGGACTTTAAGCTCTGTCTTCTTCATTCTTTTCTCCTTTTCTCTGTGCCAGATTGGAGCTGGACAGTTTCATCCTTTGCATGTAAGTGTGATCTGTGCTTCTATTTATCCCCTGAAACAATCTGTGTCTGTTTCAAGGCTCAGACAGAAGCCAAGCTGTACTCTTGGGGCTCTGGGTGCCTGGTGCCTTCTCTTAAAATGTTCCTCTCCCTGGATGATACAGACCTGCTTCTGAAAAGATGCTGAAATGTAGGTTTTTCCAAAAGGTCAAAGTGTCCTGGGGGTTTGTTCTTATCTGGCTGCTTGACCTTCACCTTGCTGCTTTCATGTGCCCAGAGCCTCTCCTGTCTGTCCTTAGTGCTCGTTCACCTGCCCTGGGGGGAGAGGACAGGAGGGGATTTGTGGAAAGGAGTCAAACAGGCACTTGTCCCCCAAATAACAGGAACCATTTCAAGGGATTTCTGCTTCCTCCCAGTGACCCTTTGAACTTCCACCATAGCCAGAGAGTGGGGAAAGATCCCAAACGTTCTGGCAAGGGACAGAAGCCAGTACATCCAACAGGGCTGTCAAAAGATCCCGGTGATCATTAACTTCACCTGGCTGGCTGCCAGATCTGCCCTCCCCTTCCAAAAACTTCCTGCTTGGTGCTGTTGGAAAAGCCCCGACTCAAAAGGGAGGAGGAAATGCTGAGATCCTCGGACAAAGCTGCGAGGTGGTTGCAGAGGGAGTAGCTGAGGGGCTGGAGAGGGGCGGGCAGAGCTCGGGCAGTCGTGGCTCTGCTTCTTGTGGCAGTTTGGGCTGGGTTTGTGGCCTCTTCCCTGCCCTCCTGCGGCATTCCCGTGCTGGACACTGCCCTCCTGCGGCATTCCCAGCCCCCGGCAGCACAACGTGCCTGGAGCTGCTGCAGGAAGTTCCACCTCCCACCGACAAATCAAAACTCGGCTGGATTTGCAGCCAAAGCCCTCTAGATTTCTAGGCTGAGATGTTCCTTCTGTTCCTGAGAAGGTGTTGACTGGATGGATTGTTGTCTGTGTCCTCCAGCCCCCTGTCCAAACAGGCTTTTGCTTGTAAAAAAGCTTTCCTGTATGAGCTACAGAGCTGTGAAAATGGGAGGCACTGTGTGCAAACACCTGATAAACACAGCTGGTTAATTTTTAAAGTATCAGAAGTTGCTCCCTGTAGGATGAAATGTTCTCTTTAAAATGGAGAGCTGGGTTTGGTTTTTTTTGTTCATCATCCCCACTGATGATTAAGGTGGGAAGTTTTTAAGATCCCAAAGAAATGTGGTGTTTGGACAAGCAGCCTCTGACCCATGGAGGAAGAACAACCAGAGCCCTGCAGTGTCCTCTGGCTGGGTGAGAGCAGGAGCAGTGCAGGGCTTCACACAGGGCTTGGGAAATGGGACTTGGATTTCCAGGCTGTGTTTGCACCCCTGACTGTGAGGGCAGGTCCCTCCCTGAGGGTTTGAGACCGTTCAGGATGAAATGTAGGAGGTGCTGTGAGCGAAGCTGCTCGTCACAGGGACACAACCAACTAACTGCTGCTTTCTGTCCCATTTTTCACCTCCCCTCTCCCCCTGGGCACTACCCCCTTCCCATCTGTCATGCTCAGGTGTCCAAGGATGACCGGAGTGACGTGGAGAGCAGCTCTGAGGAGGAGGAGGTGACTCCCCACAGCACAAAAGGAGTTCTCAGCACTTCCAGTAACGGTTCCAACCGCATCAACGGCCACGTGGGCAGTGGCCAGTGGACAGAAGAGGAGTAGTAAGGCTGCCAGGTGGCCTTGAGCAAACACAGACTTGTCTTCAGATATCCTAGATGTGTTGAGCTCCACATTCCCAAGTGATCTTTAAATCAAGAGACCCCCTTCCCCAGAAACCTCCAGCAAACCTGAAATGGGCACAATCCGGACCAGTCAAGAGGCTTTGCACGACTGAAGGGATGAAGCCAAATGAGCAGGGCGGAAACCAAGCTGCAGATCTCACTTGAAGCCATTTTTGTACTTTCAATCTTAAGCCCTGTTGATCTTTGCAGAGGTATCTTTGTGTCAAACTGGTTTTTACTGGGATCAACTCAAGGTGGAACAGGTGAGGGCTGGGCTGGCGGGGCCGATTTGGTGTGGGGCAGGGTCAGCAGATCTCCTTGATGCACTCCAGAAGCCACTGAAGAGCAGGGAGAACACAGGTCCCCATGGTTCCACCTTCCAGCTGCTCTGGCAGCAGCAGAGACTCCTCCTCCCAGTCCTGCTGGGAGTGCTCTGGGCTGGGCCAGGCTTGGAACTGGACTGTGCTACAACAGGGACCTTGTTCCCACCTCCCCAGGTGCTACGTGCTCAGGAGGTCACAGCTTCTATCTCTGCTGCCACGAGGGACCAGGCCAGTGTCTGCTGCCTCTTTTGGTGCTCCAAGCCCCTCTGAAGTCTTGACTCCAATCTTGTGAAATGGGGGGGGAGGGGGGGGTGTTGTTTATTGCCCCTAAGACAACCATCAGAATACAAACCTTTTAAATTGGTTTTCTTTTTGTTGCAATTTCTGGGTTTGAAGCTGTTTCTAGACCTCCAGGCTATGGCTGAGCTAGGAGCTGAGGGCACAGCAGGGCTGCATTTCTCTTGCCAGACAATGTTTCAGTCCTAATTGTTGGTATTTGGAGAGAAAAGTGGAAGTTGCTGCTCTGGTTGTGAGTGGAGGATGCAGAGGCTGGAAGAGCAGCCACACCCTGGGGCTTCTTTATTGTTTGTTTTTAACTCGATGGTACTTGGGGGCAATAAGAAGACCCGTGTGTCAATCATGAGCAGGATTTTGGAAACTTCTTGAGTTGTTACCATTTTATACCATTGTTTACTCTTATCTCCGATTAAAAGATGCTTCAGAAACACGGTTGCCATGTTTGGGAAAACCCCTGGAGGAGAAGGGCAGCCCCTTCCTGGCCTTCCCGGGACCTTTGCAAGGGGAAAGGGGCCCCGGTTGGGGCAGAGACACCACCCGGCACCACCTTTTGGGTCTTTTTACACAGATTTTATTCTTCTCCATCACCTCCCTCGGCCGGGGGAGGGGACAGAGCCTCTTCCTCAGGCGTTCCCGAGTCTCAGC